GGTTAGTGCTGAATTAAACCTGTGCTTTCACAGTGGCTTAAGCTTCTGTCTGCAATTAATGAAAAGGAAAGGATTAGCAGACAGAAAGAACCATAATTATCTTCTTAGAACTGTGCCTATGAAATACACAAAATCTGTTCTCTTTATATGAATGAAAATGAAGAATTCAAATGTAAATATACCATATGCATTCCATTTATATGTAAAGTCCAGAATAGGTTAATTATTTATAAAGTTTAGTGGCTGCCTAAAGCTAGAAGAAAGCTTCCTTCTTCACTTGATTTTAGCCAAAAGGCCGAGAAGCGATGAAAGATTCCTTCTTAAACTTTAAGATTTTTCACTGTGCTAAAAAAAATCATGTAACCACATTTTATTTACTTGAAATGCAGAATCACACACACACACACACACACACACACACACTCTCTCTCTCTCTCTCTCTCTCTCTCTCTCCCTCTCCCTCTCTCATCTGCTGCAAGAGCCAGCAACGGGCTCACATGTGTATTGGGGACTCAATCACTTGAGCCATTTACCTGCTGTCTCCCAGCAAGTAGTTGAACTGGAAACATAGTAGCTAAGACTTCAACCAGTAACTCCAATATGTAATTCAGGCATCCTTTGCAATGGCTTAACCCACTGTAACACAGCTCTCACCTATGTAATCATTTAAGAAAAATTTTTTTATTATTATTTTTAAGATTTATTTATTTTTATTACAAAGTCAGATGTACAGAGAGGAGGAGAGAGAGAGGAAGATCTTCCGTCCGGTGATTCATTCCTTAAGTGAGTGCAACGCCAGTACTGCGCCAATCCGAAGCCAGGATCCAGGAACTTCTTCTGGGTATCCCACATGGGTGCAGGGTCCCAAAGCCTCGGGCCTTCCTTGACTGCTTTCCCAGGCCACAGGCAGGGAGCTGGATGGGAACTGAAGCTGCTAGGATTAGAACCGGCGCCCACATGGGATCCTGGCACATTCAAGGCGAGGACTTTAGCCGCTAGGCCATGCTGCCGGGTCCATGCAATCATTTTTTTTTAAAGACTTATTTTTTGAATAGCAGAATGACAGAAACCAGGATCCCATAAGGATACCAGTTTGTATCTCAGCTGTTGTACTTCTGTTCCAGTTCCTTGCTTGTGGCCTAGGAAAGCAGTAGAGGACAGCCCGAAGTCTTAGGACCCTGCACCTGTGTGGGAGACCTAGAAACATGAGAGACCCAGAAGCTCCTGGCTCCTGGCTCCTGGCTCCTGGCTTCAGCTCAACTTGGCTCTCACTGTTGTGGCCACTTGGGGAGTGAACCAGTGGGTGGAGAACTTTCTCTGTCCCTCCTTCTCTCTGTAAATGTGATTTTTCAGTGAAAATAAATAAACCCTTATTAAAAAAAATCAGTGACTCAAAGTGTGTCTAGTGAGGCAGATGCTGAGCAACTTAGTGCAAAGAAGAAATGAGATAATGCTTTATTTTCATGGAATGTAGTACAATCTAAGCATAAGCATTTTGAACAGTGCTTTTTAAAATTATTTTTGCTTCTTATGAACCATAAGTTGTGTATACTGTATCTTTATAATATAATAAAATAGTGCAATGAAAATGTATTTAATGAAATTATAAGGGAAAATTTCCCTAATCTAGAGAAAGAATTGGAAAGCAACATCCAGGAGGGGCACAGAACTCCCAACAAGATTGACCCAAAGCAATCTTCATCATGACACATGATAATCAAGCTCTCTTCAATCGAACATAAGGAAAAGATCCTTAAGTGTGCTCATGAACTTGTGAAAAAAATCAACTGAAATATAGAAGAACGCCACAGGAGACCTCTCACAGGAAACTCTACAGTCGAGAATGGAGTGACATATTTCAGATTCTAAAAGAAAAAAATTGTCGGCCCAGGATAATGTATCCAGCAAAGCTTTCCTTTGTCTTTGAAAATGAAATAAAACTCTTCCACAGTAAAGAAAAGGTAAAAGAATATGCCTCTTCCAAACCTGCCCTACAAATGATACTTACAGATGTTGTTGTCTTGATAGCAAAAAAAAAAAAAATAGTGCCCATCAAAACCAAAGGCAAATGCAAAGAACATCCCAGTAAAATAACAAAAGAAGATAAATCAATGAACAACCCATTGTTAAAATGACCAAGACCAAAGTACCACCCATTCAGATTAACCCTGAATGTAAACGGCTTAAACTCTTCAGTCAAACCTCACAGATTAGTAGAGTGGGTTGAAAAGAAACAAAACCCATCTATTTGTCGCTTACAGGAGACATATCTCACCAACAAAGACCGGGGGAAACCATATCTCATGGATTTTGATTTTTTTAAAAGATTTATTTTATTGGAAAGGCGGATATACAGAGAGGAGAGACAGAGAGGAAGATCTTCCGTCCGATGATTCACTCCCCAAGTGAGTGCAACGGCCGATGCTATGCCGATCCGAAGCCAGGAGCCTCTTCCGGGTCTCCCACGCGGTGCAGGGTCCCAAAGCTTTGGGCCGTCCTCAACTGCCCTCCCAGGCCACAGGCAGGGAGCTGGATGGGAAGCGGGGTTGCCGGGATTAGAACCGGCGCCCATATGGGATCCCAGGCGTGCAAGGCGAGGACCTTAACCACTGTGCCACCGCGCCGGGCCCTGATTTTTTTTTTTTTTTGTTTCATCTCTTCAAAATACTCTTTCGTATTAAATTCTTTACTGACTCATAGATCATACAGCAGCATCATTTTCTTCAAGAAGATCCTCGACTTTCTTTTTTATTTCTTCAGCAACACATTAGTCATTCAATAGCATATTATTTCACTTCATGGCATTGTAAATTTCTATTTTTCTTCCTGCTGTTGAGTTTGTATTGTGGCTTTTCATTTAAGGGATGTATAGTAACTGTGTAATGGAGACTATCAAATCCAGATATGAGGATATAATGCAGTATGCATCTCTACTTCCAGACCAAAGATGGACTCCCAATAAAACTGTTAAATATACCTTGACAATAGCATGCTGGACTCTCTGCCATTGTCCATGCCCACAATGATGGACATATAACTGTTTATGAAGAACTATACTATAGTAATAATACAGGGGAGCTCTGTGGAGGGGAGGAAACTTGTAGAGGGGGTAAGGGAAATCCTAGGGCCTATGGAACTGTGTCATACAATGATAATAATAAAAGAAGTTAAAAAAAAAATGACATAAACAGAAAGAGACAGATCTTCTACCTGCCTTAATACCCAAACGATTACAATGGTTGGGGGTGGGCCAGATCAAAACCAGGAGCCTAGTGCTGCTTCTGGGTCTCCCACATAAGTATCAGGGGTTCAGATTACTTGAACCATCTTTTACTGCTTTCCTCTGCCTGGAGCTGGATTGGAAGGGGAGCAGCCAGGACTTGAACCAGCACTCATATGGAATGCCAGTGTTACAAGTGATAGCTTAACCTACTGCGGTACAGTGCAGGCTCCAGTAAACAGTAGTATAAAGTGTGTCTACATAGATGTGAAACAGCTCTCCAGAACTTTTTCATCCTGTGAAACGGAATCTCTATTAAATTTACATACCCTTAGCTGCTGGAAACCATCATTCTTTTTTCTGACTCTACGACTCTCAGTGAACAGAATTATATAGTTACCCTTTCCTGACTGCTTGATTTAATTTAGCATAACTTTGTAGCTGATAACAGGATTACTTCTGTCAGCACAGTAGTACTCTAAGTATGTGCCAAATCTGACTCATTCACTCACTGAGGTTGCTTCTACCTCTTGGCTACTGTGAATAGTATTACTACAAGCAGAAGTGTGCAAATATTGTTCATTATGCAATTCTCAATCATTTTGGATATATACTGGATCATGGAGGCTTCTTTTAAGAATAGTGGCAATTGTTTTAAAATTTGGTAGTGTTGTATAACTATGTGACTCTGTTAACACTGAATTTTATATTTTATGTGGGTAAATTATATAAGATATATTGATGATATCACAACAGAACTATAAAAAACACAGCGCTTAAAGGCTAAATTAGATATATAGTTTCTCTAAATATTTTGACTGGCTGAAAAATTAATCTGGTTTAATAACCAGTCAATAGGTAATTTTCAATGACCCGGCTAGATGTTGAGGCATTTTGGGGACACAAACTAAGTGATTTTTCAGCACTGTAGATTACATAAAGCAGAAAAAGAAACTCAGTGTGTGTCTTGATTTCCTAATATTAAACCTTCTCATATTTTGTATTGTAAAATATGTAGAACTAACAAATTCATACCAACTACTGCAATTTGCTCTGTAGGCATGTCATTCATAAGATTTTTAATGTTTAATTTGTTTGAGAGGCAGAGCTTAGGATCCAGGCACCTTCACTGTTAGGCTAAATATCTGCCCCACTAGATTTTGTTTTTAAAGATTTATTTATTTTTTATTGGAAAGCTAGATATACTGAGAGGAGACAGTGAGGAAGATCTTCCATCCGTTGGTTCACTCCCCAAGTGGTGGCAACAGCTAGAGCTGAGCTGATCCGAAGCCAGGAGCCAGGAACTTCCTCCAGGTCTCCCATATGGTGCCAAGACTTTGGGCCCTCCTTGACTGCTTTCCCAGGCCACAAGCAGGAACTGGATGGGAAGTGGAGCAGCCAAGATTAGAACTGGTACCCAAATGGGATCCTGGTACATGCGAGGACATTAGCCACTAGGCTACAGTGCCAGACCCTGCCAGATTTTTTTTAAGGTGGGGGAAGGAAGCAGGCCTTTGAATTTAGATTCACTTTTTCAAGTATCACTCCCAATTATTTCACACAGAAGATACTAGAGACAGAGGTTTATTTGTTTTTATGTTTGCAATTTAAAAAATTGTACATCTAAAAAGCTCTGTGTTCAACTGCACTGAATGAGGAAAAAGGCGATTAACATTTTTAAACAGAGAGAGAAAATTCTGAGACAAAATTGTGCATCAAATTGCGATTCTTCTCACCTCTAATGATTTAACACAACTAGAAACATTAATGGCAATAGGTGGTCAGTGACATTCAGAAATTCATTTCATTGCATTCTTTGCTTTATCTAGACATTTGCAATGTTGTCAAGACTCACACACACAGTTCTGGAAAGCTCACCAATGAGACAATCTCAAAGATTTCTCACGGCTTCTTCTGATAGAGCAAAGTAGGAGATCTTGTCTGATCACTTTTTAAAACAGCAGGCTCTACGTGGTTCACACCAAAGGTTTGCAGATCAACTTACACGGTTGTGTGACATTCTGTGAGGCAGGAGCTGAAGCAATCGCTGATCTAATTAGAGATAGTTACTACATGGAATAGCATTTCTTCTCAGATTCTCCATCTTCCCATTTCCTAAAGAATCCTTTAGGGTTGATTTTTTTTTAAATGAAGGCTGAAATAGAATGAGTTGATTTCAGAGTCTTATTTATAGATTTTTCAAAGTCCGTTTGTGTGCCGAAACAAAATTATGAATGGCAATTCGAAGAGCTGAGTTTCCCTCGGAGGTGTCACGGGAACTGATGACTGAACGTAGTGCCCGATGATACGCTGCAAGTAAAGGTTTGCACAGTGATAAATGGAGAACAAATTCTAAACAATTCTCTTAACCTTCTTCCCTACGAGTACTGCTTCTCCACTCGGAGTTTCACATTAAATTTTTCTACTGAAAAGATGTTTGTTGAACGCTTATTATATAACAAGTATTTTGTGAGGACATGAAAGATAATGGAGAGGATAAACATAAGAATAATGAACTGAATATAATACTTGAAAAAATATCATTCCAGAACAAAGCTGTAATGAATAAGAACTATCCAGAAGAGGACGGAAAAGATTTCCAGAGTGGTAATTTAAGGATTAATCTGAGTGAAACAAAGCAGACATTGTAAGTAGAAAGCTTAGTGTGTGAGGTGCAGACTGATTTTCAAATAAGGCACTCACTGGGAACAGCAAGTTTGATATGGTTAGAGTATGACCTGGGATCAGAGAGGAACACACACTGAATATGCCTTGCTTTTGGTGCTGCAACAGACGGTCCCAGAGGTTCTAGAACAAGGAAATGCAAGATGTGTGTATTTAAAAATGAAGCTCAGGAGACTGAAAGAAGAGGTGCTAGGAAAACGTCTAGCTGGCAGTATTTTCAGTGTACACATGTGGTAAACTTAATGCCTACACTATGTAAACGAACGTATTTAAAGATAAACAAGAAACAGAAACAATAGTGACAATATGGATTTTAATTTCTCTAACTGGGATTCCTGATACAATTTATACTGTTGCTCTTTTTTTCTCAGTGTAGCCTAGAACAACTGGCAGTGCAATGTGGAAATACACAGTAGTGAATCGGTGTTAGGTACCAGGGAAGTACTTGGATAGCAAGGAATGCAGCTGAAGAGAGTCCTAACTTAGACAGCTATACAAAGCAAACTCTAATAGTCTTAAAAGGAGGGACCTGGAATCCATATCTCTCTATAGCACTAGCAGCTGGAAATATTTCCCAAGAATAAATCAGGACAAGAAGATAACACATCTCAGAAATATAACTATTATTATGCTCATTGTCTCATAATGCTGTATTACAAAGAGTTTAAAATAATCTTTGATATTCAGTAAGCACTCAAAAAGCTAAATTACTATTACTTTTACCATTTGCCAAGAAACCTACCTCTGTGGTTTTTATAGAAGACACAACTGTTGGCGCAGGTATCAGGATGGGCATCCCAAAAATCAGGACCACAAGAGCACAATGGGGGTAAAGTAATTTTGTATAACTGCATTTTCTCCTGGACCTGGGCTCGTAAAGCTTCCACATATCTATAAAAATACAGCATGATCAGGCCTAGTGAACTACGAGGAAATGGCAAGAATCCTGATTTTACAAGACCTAACTGTTGGAACTGTTTCACACTTGTGCCTCAGTTCTCCATTTCTATGCTGGGAAAGGGCACTGGGAAGAATGTAGTGTACTCTTGAGAGGTACTAATGTGATCCAGAAATCTGGTAAAGTTATGTCTAAGTGAGGAAAACTCTAAGGTGATACAGTTAATTCTTTTTAAGGACAACAAGAACACCGACTGCTTACTGAGTCTCTCTAGAGCGAGAACTTCACGTAGAACTTGTCAAATTACCTTAAATCCTCCTTTTCTCTCTGTAGCTGCTTTTCTCTGGCTTCTTTCTTCTCTCCAAGTTGTAACTGGCCTAGCGTCTCAGTCACCTTTTCCTCTGGACATGGCTCTCTGTGGAGGTCCATTTTTAGGAGCCTCTGCTCTTCAGCATAACGTTCTTGCTCTCTCTTTTTCTTAATTCTGAGAAGAAAATTGCAACATGGTTCAGGATGTCATAAAAATTGTAAAATCTATTTCAGATTAGCTGTGAAGTTCATGTAACTCAAGACATTTACAGAAACAAGCAAGTCGAGGAATCAGTTTAAGATCTCAACAGTATCTTCAAAAATTCCTGCTGGTAAGAAGAGGGTGGAAATGTAGTCAATGATGGAGTTAAGTGGTAGAGTAGAAGGAATTAAAACTACTTCATTACAATGGCACCCTCATGGCAGGGTCCCGGTGGCTTCACATAACAGATCACCGACTTACAGACACCCAAGTGCTTCCTGTCTTGTCATATGATCCTCTGTGTCCCTTTGGCACTGCCAGCAAGAAAACACCAGCAGGGGCCTAACCAATTGGCCTGGCCAATCTTTGACTATGAATATCCAAAACCATGACTATGAATATGCAAAATAATGTGTACTATGTAAACTCAGGCTATCTCAGGCATTTTTAGAGCCTTTCGTTTTGTTCAATCAAGACAGGATAAGGTAAGATCTAGAAGCCATTCCACAAAACCTGAAAGATCAGACACCAGAAAAACAAAAATGTGCTGGTCATGGAACCAAATTCATTCATATTCTGACAGCTAATGGTGGCTACCTCTAACTGAGAGACTAAGCCACTGTATTTATTTATTTATTTAAAGATGTATTTATTTTTATTTGAAAGGTAAATTTTACATAGGAAAGGTCTTTCATCTGCTGGTTCATTCCCCAAATAGTCACAACATCTAGACTGAGCTAATCTGAGACTGAGAGCCAGGAACTTCTTCCCAGTCTCCCATGTGGGTGCAGGGTCCCAAGGCTTTAGGCCATCTCCACAGAAGTAAAGCAATCAGAAGATGGCTTTAGGCCATCTCCACTACTTTCCCAGGCCATAAGGGAGTTGGATCAGAAGTGGAGCAAGCAGGACACGAATCAGTGACCATAATAAGGAATGTCAGCACCAAAGGGCAGAATTTTAGTCAGCTGAGCAATTGTGCTAACCCCACAGGCCACTTCATTTATTTATTTATTTATTTTTAAAGATTTATTTTATTTTTATTGGAAAGGCAGACATACAGAGAGGAGGAGAGTAGAGAGGAAAATGATCTGTCTGTTGATTCACTCCCCAAGTGGCTGCAATGGCCAGAGCTGTGCCGATCCAAAGCCTGGAGCCTAGAAGTCTACAGCCTCTTCCAGGACTCACACGTGGGTACAGGCTCCCAAGGCCATCCTCAACTGCTTTCCTAGATCACAAGCAAGTAGGTGGATTGGAAGCAGGGCCACTGGGATTAGAACCGGAGCCCATATGGGATCCCAGCACATGCAAGGCGAGGACTTACTGCCAGGCTACTATGCCAGGCCCCCCACAGGACACTGTAAAGAAGCATTTTCTTAAAAGTGTTCTCCCACATTTGCCAATCTTTGCTGAGCTACAACAATAAACATAAACTAAGTATTTCTCAACATAAAACGTTTTATGGTATGATTGAAACTCAAATGCAAAATAAAGTTGTAATGGAGTAGAGGTGAGAAATCTGACCATGGCAATTTGGGCACCGGGATATGATCAAGATTTAAGGGCATTTAGGGCACCGTTCCAGGAATCTGAGCAATGCAATGTGCAGAAAAGCCATAGGCACTGAAACAGATCATAAACAAATGTCACTTTGCTCTCTTAAAGTATGCTGTTTTTAAGAAAGTAGGAAGAAGTACACCTTGCTAGGGATCTACCTACCTAAAGAGAGCATATTCCAAAGAAAACCAGTAATATCAAGTAAGCATTAAGTATTTGAGGACATTTGTTGGTTAAATCCAGTAACTACTTGGCAAAAAAAGCAAATACTGTAAGATCTTCCTGCAAAGAAATAAAACAGATTTTATTGATGCAATGTAAATGGAGCCAAGTGAAAAGACAACAGAAAATATGAACATCAAGTTCAAAATACGCATCAGGTGTGGGTACTATAAAATAGTAGCCTAAATAATTTCAATCTGAAGTATTCATTACTATAATTCTCTGTACCAATTATTCTGTGTAATTGTAAACTAAAAGCTCAGGAAATACATCAACCCTGTTTTTCAAGAGTTAATACTTTAGGTCTTAATAATATGATATCACTAGAAATTATGAAATCAGCTCTTCCCCCTCTCCTCACTTCACAGTCAAACATCATGTGAGAGAGTTGTTCAGACTTTCTAGTTGCTCATCCAGTCCACAATGGCTTTAAGAGCCATCACGCCACCAAAATAACTCCTCTAAGGCAGCTGGCAGCCTGAAAGTCATTTGATCCACTTAGCATACATATTCTCAAAGGGGCAATCTTATTCCTAAGCTGAAAAAACCTTAGCTATTACAATTGCTTGCAACCCTCCAAAAAGTCATAGCACACAAACAAAAATGTATTTTATACTAATAGTAAATTTTGATGGTGGGGAAAAAATGTCTTAGAAGGTTCCATAAAGGAACAGTTACAAAGGGAAGGCTGAGAAGCACTGAGGCAGCATTCTTCAGCTTTCATTTTATCTGCCTGCTCAGACACAGCACTGCTGACCACCCTCCTTCACAGTCCTCTCTTCCTCAGCCTGCAACACAATCTTCTCCCTGAATTTCCACACGTGCCTGCCTACACTAGCCTCTCCTGGCTTACAAGGCCATCTTCTCTACATCACAGTGTCCCTTAAGTCAATCAGAGGCCATTTCTTCTTCCTTCTGTAGAGCTTCTGCGAGGTCACTTCATGTTTGTGCTACACCTCAGCTGCTGTGAGTGACACCTGTCACTCATATCACTATAGCTCCATTGTGTGCTTGAGATTCTTACCTACTTGTCTACCTGCCAATTTGACAGTTGCACTTGATGTCTTACAGGCATTTCCTTGGAAAAGAATTCACATCTTGGATCACATTCTCAGGTTAAGAACAAGTGTCAAACAGCAGATTCGGAAGACATAAAAATTAAAAATGATAGTGTGCAACTGAAAAATTGGATATAAACTGCTACTACACAACAAGTTCTATTATTTTCTAATGTTGCAAGGCTTCTTGGGTAAGTACACCTTGTAATGACATACAATAGAAGCTGGACTAAGTCAGAAATTAATTTTGTCAATATATGTTTTCCCAAGGCAGTACTATTACAATGGCTTTTTGGCTATGCTGAATTGTATTCTGAAACCAGTATCAGATTCTCAAAAAAAGAGTAAGACTATAAAAGAATGGTTTAAAAAACTTGCTATATTGGCTATTTGTACAATTAAATAAGTAGATATCAATGTTTACAATTTAAATGAGAATCTTGAAAACAGAGCAATAGTGAACAAAAACTATTTATAACCCTTATCACGTCAACAACTCAGAAACTCTTCCTGTAACTCACACTGTACAGCCTTACCCCTAATCCTGTACAAAGCTGTCTGAAACACAGACCTAGACCAATAACAAAGACAGAGCAAGCACAGATAAAACATTTGAAATAAAAGAAATTTTGCTTCTAAGAGCAATTAATACGCTTACTTATTTTAGGATGGAATGATGTTCTATGAGAAAAATAACTTCTCTGTGCCTGGCACAATAGTGTAGCGGCTAAAGTCCTCACCTTGAAAACACTGGGATCCCATATGGGCGCCGGTTCTAATCCTGGCAGCTCCACTTCCCATCCAGCTCCCTGCTTGTGATCTGGGAAAGCAGTCGAGACTAGCCCAAAGCTTTGGGACCCTGCACCCATATGGGAGACCCAGAGGAAGCTTCTGGATTTTCGCTTTGGATTGGCTCAGCTCCAGCCATTGCAGTCACTTGGGGAATGAACCATCGAATGGAAGATCTTTCTCTCTGTCTCTCCTCCTCTCGGCATATCTATCTTTCCAATTAAAAAAAAAATATTTTTTTAAAAAACAAAATAACATTTCTATTTTAAAAAAAAGAAAAATAACTTTTCAATGAAGGTGGAAGTATTTTGTCTTCTTGATATAATAGTATTAATGCTCAATCTAGCCCAGTCTAAATCTTTGCCTGCTATTTTGTTTCTCTGTTCAACTTTTCTCTCTCTCTTCGTTCTTAGTTCTTGGTGATTTTAGAAGTCACTGCCTACAGTGACTTATCATTCTCTATTGGAATCTCTACTTGAATTTCCCGTAAGCACCTCCAGTCTGATATGCCCCAATCTAAACTATCTTCTCCATCTCCATCTTCTATTAAATCTATTTGATATTACTCTGTTGACCTGGTGCCTCAGCCCATAAATCAGGGACTTAACCTGAAACTTCCCTCTGAAAAAAATGCATCAGTTCTCACACGTTTGTGAGGTTGCCTTCTCCCCCTTGGTCTTGTCTTGGTCTTGTCTTATGTGTCACAGGCTTCAAAGAGGTTAGGTGAGAAATCCGTTTGCTAAGTGTGGTTGGGCAATGTTAGTAACATTAGGCAAATTACATAACCTCTTCAGGGCTCATTTTTCATCTCTGAATTGAAAATAGTAAAAACCTTCCTTATATAGTTATCAGAATGAATAATGCTTCTAAAGCAGTCACTATTATACCCAGCACACTGTGACTGTTCCTTCAATAGCTTCTGCTACTTAGTGGGACGGTTGTATTGATTAAACGAGACATTAATCTGTTCATTAACACAGTGAAAACCTTAATATATGATAATATTTTCAAAAAATAATAAATTCACCCTCTTCTCTAACTGTATTATTTCAACAACTTCCTTAACATCTAGTCTTAGTTATCTTATCTATTCCCTACAATATCTCTAACTGGGCTCCTAAATGTTTTGAGGATAAAGTCCAAATTCCTCATGACATACTAAGCTCTTCAAGATATTACCTTTCCTTATTTCTTAAGGCTTACTTCTTGTCATTCATGTAACTCAGATCACATTAAACTCAGACGGTTCATATTCTTTCATGCGCCAGAATTCCTGTTTTCTCTTTTCCCAATCCAATTCCCATTTTGTCGCACACTGCTTCTATCCTTCTCAATTTCCCACAGACAGTC